CCTGCATTCACTCCATAGGATGCACACACATTTCCCCTTAATTTTTGGAGGGGAAAAATGCGTCCTACAGAGCGAAAAATACGGTATCTCTGTGCTCTTTGAGTGAAAATCCAGCTCGTTTTGTGTTTGGGCGGGAAGCAGGGCTTTCTCTTTCCTTCCCCCTCCCCCCTTTTTAACCTTTATTAATGTTGCTAACAACCCAAAAGTGTGGTAGCAGGGTATTACTGCCATTGAATTCTACTCAGTATTGATCCAGAGCAGATTCCAATGTATAGTTGGCAGAGTAACAACTTTAACACGTTGCAGGATTCCCCCAAAATAGACCAGAGGCAAATAATATTTCATCCAGCAGAGCTTTACTAAAAGCAAATGAGCATAATGGTCACAAATCCAGTACAGTCAGTATTGGTACTGTCCATAAGAAATCCAGTTGCACCAGACTTAACTTAAACTTACGATAACTTATAATAAGTCTAAATCTTAACACTCTATACCAGGCATAGCCAAACTTGGCCCTCCAGCTGTTTTGGGACTACAACTCCCATCATCCCTAGCTAACAGGACCAGTGGTCAGGGATGATGGGAATTGTAGTCCCAAAACAGCTGGAGGGCCAAGTTTGGCCATGCCTGCTCTATACGGAACACCACACCAGAAGGAAGAGAGATAGAAAATGAACGTGAAACCTTCTGGCCTTACTTTTATAGTCAGCATGACCTTGACAGAAAGAGATAACAGGACCAGTTTAAGCCAGCGGCACTCAGCTTCTCGGAAGGAATAACCCAAACATCAGGAACCTTCCGCTTGTTTCTTTCACACAGAGAAACTTCCAGAACCCTCTTGAATTAAGTAAAATAGGATAGCTCTCTACACATCAGATCAATACTTCCTGTGCTACAAAATGCAAACTGACAATTATATCATACAAAGCAAGCAGGCAATAAATAATAAGAGGCAGAACGAGTGATGCACTAGTACAGATCCAAACATCCATATTTACTCAGGTGGCATGGATGGTGAATGCTGAGCATCACAAAGCGCAGAAAATAAAAGTCCCACCAGAGGACATAAAAATGTCCTGGATGCTCTACGCCCCTGGATTCATGCAGTTTATGTTTGATTTTCTTCCCCCCGTAATAGCCAAAGTCAGCACAGTCCTACGCAGATTTTTCAAAGTTTACCACTGCTGGACAATCGAACTCCTGGCTGCAGTGAGCACTCACGTCAAAAGTCCTTCAGAGCGATAAGCTTTCATGTTGCCCGTCCACGTACTCAGTAATGACACTCGTGGGGAAGCCTGAACAGGCAAATTGATTATTTCAGAAATTTATTTGAGTACTTGGGACCAGAATAATGAAACCAGAGGGCATTCCCACCAAAGATAATAGAATGCCCCTCAAGAGTTCACTACCATTCCAGCAATCATGTGTCGATTGCGATGTGATCAGAGATACCTACACAGTTGTGTGATGCCATCTATACAGAACAGGGCCTTTTTTGCGGTGGCTCCCCTTTTGTGGAATGCTGTCCCCAGGGAGGCTCACTGGGCGCCTTCACAACATATCTTTAGGCGCCAACCAAAAGCAGGCCCTTGACTAATTAAACCATCAATGACCTTATATGGGTTGTTGCTTCATTTGTCATTATGCTGTTTTTTGTGTTTTTATACAGTAAAACACTCTGCAGTCTGAGGATGAAAGGTGGTCTATAAATTTAATAAGTCGATAAATAACTTTGAGGGAACGTTCCCTCACATATGATGAAACAGGTTTATAGGATTTAGCTGGACTTGTCTCCAGCGAAGGTATAGTTTATTCTCCGCATTTTATGTGAGCCAATTTGTCCCCTGGCAGTTATACCTGAGCTAGGGATGCAGGTAGCACTGTGGTCTAAACCACTGAGCCTCTTGGGCTTGCCGATCAGAAGGTTGGCGGTTTGAATCCCTGTGACGGGGTGAGCTCCCGTTTCTCTGTCCCAGCTCCTGCCAACCTAGCAGTTCAAAAGCACGCCAGTGCAAGTAGATAAATAGGTACCACTGCAGCAGGAAGGTAAACGATGTTTCCATGCGCTCTGGTTTTCATCACGGCGTTCTGTTGCGCCAGAAGCAGTTTAGTGCTTCTGGCCACATGACCCAGAAAGCTGTCTGTGGACAAACGCCGGCTCCCTCCACCTGAAAGTGAGATGAGCGCCGCAACCCCATAGTCGCCTTTGACTGGACCTAACTGTCAAGGGGTCCTTTACCTTTTGCATTTACCTGAGCTGCTTATATCCAGATATAATTTTAACCTGAAGATTCCACCTCCATTCTCCTGCTCTGTGCTGTTCCCAACAAACCTATAGAAGCTACTATGCATCAAAAGCACCTACATGCTAGGAAAAATTGTAGAAAGGTGTCTGCAGAAAGCCAACAGAAGCTCTTTTATGAGCAGATGTCCCTTTTGGATTTTCTGAGAATTAGGAAGCTCTGGATTTTAGCAGGGAGAAGGTTTGGGGCGACAGCTCTTTCCAGTGAATGTTGTACGAATGGGGGTGGGATTGACCCTAATGCACGTTAAGCTGAGGTGCAGATGTGCCCTGAGTAATGTTGTAAAAGCTCTTCAGCCAAAACAGTGCTCAAATGATAACGAATAGTGGTTGTTGCCTCTCCCCAGAAACCGTGAAGTTTGCTGGCAAACAACAGGAAAGAAATTTCATTTCTGCTTTGGTTTTCCTCCCTTTCTTTTGCATATAAACCTACGTCTTAGAAATACAACAAGGCTATAGAGAAAAGGTGTGCGTTGTGGAAGAATGGTGTTTGGGTCCAGTGGATGGCAGTTAATTGAAAATCTAGGGGGTACTCTAGTTAAGTTACATTTTAGCAAAACGGAAAATACGCAGTAGTTAAGGATGGCTGGATGGGTAGTTAGAGGGATAGATAGATAGATAGATAGATAGATAGGATAGGATAGAGGAAAAGAGATGAGGTTGGTTAGTTAGTTGGATGGATGGATAAATGGATTATAGAGAGATAGATGATAGATATGATAGATGATGGATAGATAGATAGATAGATAGATAGATGATAGATAGATAGATAGATAGATAGATAGATAGATGCCTAGATAGACGGATTTAGAAGATGTCTTGCTTGGAGTCATCTGATCCATGGTAAAACCTTTGCAAAATCCCCACCCCCCTCACATACACACCATTTATATTTTTGCATCCTCCACAGTTATAAATCTGCCCCACAGCAGCAGGTCCTATGAGGACAACATCCATCCAAATAATCTCACCCAAAGTTTTTCAGAGGCCTCGCGCGCTCGTGGCAGTGGTGGTGGTGGTGGTTCTGTTGCTTTCCTGTTAAATGTTTGGTTCTCCTATCTGTCCCATGCGAAACAAAGGGCGCGGGAAAAGCGGTCCTCTTTGGTGGTTTTCCGCTGGCATGCTGTTTCGCTGCTAACGGAGGAAATGTGGAGATGACCCGAAAATGGGTCTTTGTCTTGTAGTGCTGTTGTTTGTTGGTTTGGTTTGGTTTGGTTTTGAAAAATGAAACAAGCATCAGTAGAAGAAGCAGTGTGGGACCGCGGTTAACCTTTCGACTCAGTGCTTTCCTCCTTAAAAGAGGAGGATCCCTCCACATCACAACTTAGGAGAGGCGTCCCTGGAAATCCTTTGGGAGCTGAGGAACCAGGGAAGAAGTTGGCGATGGTTCTGGGTTTGCTTCAAGCTTCCTTGCATGTGCCCTTGGAGAGACCCTCTCACCACATTTTGGTTCTTTTGTGTGTGAAAAGCACCTAGGTTTTCGTGATGGGGTGCAGGGATATCACCATTTCTCTCTCTCTCTTTCTCTTTCCCTTTCTTTCTCTCTCTCTCTTTCTCTCTCTCTCTTTCCTTCCTTCCTTCCTTTCTCTCATTAATTAGTTCAGAGAGGATTTGCTTCCTGGCTTGAAGACCTGGTTTTGGGTTGGGGTGGGGATAAGAAGAGGAGCGGGGCTTTGTAACGTGGTCTTGTAACGTGGTGAAACCAATTCTTTTTGTTTCCTGGCTGGCTGTTGGAGGAACGAGTTCAATTCTTCCCTGATCCCGGCGGCATCCTTCGGCGCTCAGACCTCCCAGCTTGGGACAGGCTTTTTGTGTCTCTCCTTTACCCACCCCCATGCAGTCGTCCCCCCCAACTCCATACAGCTCCCTCCCTGCAGTCTTAACATCATGGCCGAGACCCTTTCCTCCTTTTCTTCCTTCTCTAGCTGGCATGCCTGTTCAAACGCATGGGGAACCAGAGCCTTGCTCAATCTGCAGTAGATTTTATTTCTCCCTTCCTTTCTCTTTTCTGGGCGTATCCGCAGGGGCTGTCCTCTGTAGTGCTTAGATCCTCCCTCCCTGCAAAAGTTTACGTCCTACATCGAAGGCACTGCGATACCTCCTCAAACAAGCATGGCTTCTTCCCCCAAAGAATCCTGGGAGTTGTAGTTTTCTAAGGGTGCCAAGAGTTGTCAAGAGACCCCCTATTCCCCTCATAGAGCTGCAATTCCCAGAATGGTTTAAAAGCCAATGCCTCTTCGCAGGGAACTATGGGAACAGCAGCTTCACAAGGAGAAGAGGAAGCCCACTAACAACTCTCAGGACCCTTAACAAACTAAAGTGGTACCTCCGGTTGTGGACAGGATCCGTTCCAGAGGTCCGGTCGGAACCCGAGGTTTCTGCAACCTGAGGGCCGCTTCTGCGCATGCGCGGTCTACTGCCTCTGCGCATGCGCGCACGGCGAAACCCGGTAAAATACTTCCCGGTTTGCTGCGCACGCATTCTGAAGTTTACGTAACCTGTACAGTTCTCCCAGGATTGTTTGGGGGAATCCATGTCTGTTTAAATTGGGATTACTAAAATGGAATTAAACTGCTTTAAATGTGCACTGTGAATGCAGCCTAAGTTAAATTAAGAGTTTCATAGAATCACAGAATTGTAGAGTTGGGAGGGACCCCAAGAGTCATCTAGTCCAGCCCCCTGCAATGCAGGAAACTTTTGCCCAATGTGGCGCTCGAACCCACAACCCTGAGATTAAGTGTCTCCTGCTCTGCTGACTGAGCTATCCGTCGACTTGTTCTTTTTAGACAGTGTTGATATTAATGAACCTACGGTATGAATATCATACCTTAGGTCCATTGATGGACCTATGAATATCAATGGGATCTACTCTGAGCATGCCTAACATTGGATTCAATGTCTACTCTTGAGAATTAGTAACATTAACTGCAACTCTTTGTTTTTTCCTTCCTTGGTGTGCAGAGAGTGAGCTCTGAAAATATGGACACTGTGGTATTCTGTCATTCAGGCTAACCCAGGCGAAAGCAAATTCATTCGCTGCTACTGATTGCTTTTCAGCCTATTGGCCAGTGCCAGTGTCGTCACCCGACACTCACAGCAAGGTGCATTGCATTTTCCTTGTGATTCCTTTTTAGTAAGGTTCGCCAAGGTTAGTCTTCCCCAACGTGGTGCCCTCCAGATGTTTTGAACTCGGTTTCCCATCAGCCCTACCCAGTGTGGCTGGGGATGATAGGAACTGGTGCCAGAACACATAACACCTGCTCCTAGGTTCAGGGGCTTGGGCAGATGCTAGCAATGCCAGCCCTGACGCTAGAGTAGGGGGGAAATACCAAACCTGTCTTCCCACCATATGTATAAAGTGCATCACTTCCCCCAAAGAATTCAGGGGGTTAGACTGGATGACCCCAGGGGGGCCCCCATCCAATTCTACAATTCTGTGAAATGTCCTTGCATGCAGCCCCTGTCTTCCTTCGTAGTTCCACCACTGCTCCACTAGCAGAACAGCAGCAACTGAATTTGTTCCTAATTCATCCCCCGCTCCCCGCTACCCTATTAGAAAGCATTGTTCAGAATAGCTGTTTGCACGACCCGCAAAGAGAGGTAACAACACGACAAAATTGAAACCAGGAGCAACTATTTAGGCACATTTATTTGGAATCGAGTTGAAACGATTCTGTTCAGTTAATTCAGCAAAAGTAGAACTGTAGAGGGGGAAGGGACCCTGCGGGTCATCTAGTCCAACCCTCTGCAATGCAGGAATCTCAACTGAAGCATCCATGGAAGGTGCCCATCCAACCTCTGCTTAAAAACCTCCGAGGAAGGAGAGGCCACCACCTCCTGGGAGAGACCGTTCCACGGTCGAACAGCTCTTACCTTCAGAAGGTTCTTCCTAATGTTTAGTTGAAATCTCCTTTCTTGTAACTTGAAGCCATTGGAGAAAACTATAGCTTGCTCCATCTTCCATATGACAGCCCTTTGAAGATGCGGGTGGCGCTGTGGTCTAAACCACTGAGCCTCTTGGGCTTGCCGATCAGAAGGTCGACGGTTTGAATCCCCGCGACGGGGTGAGCTCCCGTTGCTCGGTCCCAGCTCCTGCCAACCTAGCAGTTCGAAAGCACGTCAAAGTGCAAGTAGATAAATAGGTACCACTCCGGCAGGAAGGTAAACGGCGTTTCCGTGCTCTGCTCTGTTTCGCCAGAAGCGGCTTAGTCCTGCTGGCCACATGACCCGGAAAAACTGCCTGCGGACAAACACCGGCCCCCTCGGCCTGTAAAGCGAGATGAGCACCCCAGAGTTGTCTGCGTCTGGACTTAACTGTCAGGGGTCCCTTTACCCTTTACCTTTGTCGTCTCCAAATATCTTGATCCAGGGATGCCAGCTTTTCAAAGTCTGGTATTCTCCAGTGCCTTACTGCTGCCCCCTTGCCAATTCGCACCCCACTGGATAATCCCACCCCCCACTTTGGAAACCACTGTACCAAACGCCAGGCCTGTGCTGAATTTCCAAGAAAACATTCCCGGAATTGTGGTTTGATGCTAAAGCCTCTGGCCTTACGAGCAGCCAGGATAAAGCTTCAATACGGATACACCTTTTTCTTATTCTCTCTCTCTCTCTCTCTCTCTCTCTCTCTGATTTCATGCTTCTCTTTTCTTTCCCTCGCCCCCTGCCTGCGATTCTCCTCCGTCTCAGCTTTTCACACGCAAGCGTGCATGGTTTGGGCAATATTTCATTTCCCTACCCCCCCATCCTCCCCCCGCATGCCAGCACATCCCGCTGCACCATTTTCCGTGCTACTCCGCCAGGGTGGCGTTCCCAAGCATCAAAAACCCGTTTTTTGTTTAAAAAAAAATCCATTAAACTAAAGGTAAAGTATTATTTTTTGATCTTGCGAAAGATTTCTGCCTTTAACTCTTCAAGTACCAGAGACAATAGACTGTAGAACACCTGGAGGAAAATCTAGCGGGACGAAAAGAAAATTGGCTGGGAGGGACCTAAAAAATAATTTTTCAAAAAGGAAACCAAATCAGTGATTATTGGAGGATATGTTGCCATTTCTAACCCAACAGTAAAAGTGACAGATTTGGGCTTTGCTCTTGCTGGGCGATTGGTTCCCTTAGAAGTAATAATAATAACAACAACAATTTATTTTCAGTATTTTTGGGAAGCGCTAACCCATTCAGAGGACTTTCACGGGCGTGCAAAGTGCACAGGACAGATTTGTAGGGAAACACTGAGGGCGGGATGAAGAGAGAGCCCCCCGCCCCACCCCTCCAGAGCTTTTGACTCTGTTGAAAACACATTTAAGGGGAGAAAAGGTTGTCTTTCTGATTTAGAACTCTTGAAAAGAGTTGCAAGCTTGCACCCCCCCCCTTTCTGCGCATAGAATAAGCCAGTGACATCGAACAGATGTATACAAAGTCTATGGTACCTAAAGGGTTAAAAACAAACAAACAACAACAAGTAAAGCCACTTTGCATTTGGTACATGGCAACTCAGTGAAGGGGCCCAATTCTTGAGGCTTGGACAGTCATCTTTTAAGGCCGCGTGAAAGCAGCCGCAGAAGGTGAGTACTGGCTGGTCTCAAGCGGATTCACAAATACAGCCCAACCTGTTACCTTTCCCGCATGCTCGGCACCCCTCTCTCTCTCGGCCACGCTCCACGCAGCTCTGGGCACGCTCCCCTACTCCTGGCGGCCTTCGGGAAACCCCACGGGGGGCGGGGGGAGGAAGGAGGCGCAGGACAAGTGAGTTGGAGGTGGGCGAAGGCTTTTTTTCGGAGCTCTCTCCAAAGTTCTGACCTCGCTCCAATCGCTGCAAAACCTCCTGCGTCCTCTGTCTCTCATGCAACGCACACATGCAGACAGACACCCCTGGATTTGCACAGGTTGGGCTGGATTGTGATGGAAAGGCCATGAAACCCCTCCGAGGGGTTCTCCTGCGCAGACGATGCGGTCCAGACAAGTAGGAGCTGTGGTTCTTCTGCCTCCCCTGCTTTGCTTGGACAGGAGGAAGTCCCCTGTCTCCTCGCCTGTTTCCCTGCCCCTCTAAGGAATGAGGGCGTTCACACATGCACACGCACACCGTGTCTTCCTCTCAGAGCTCTTAGAGGGGTGAGTGAGCAGGGCCATCCTCTGGAATAGCAGTACAGCCAAAGAAACTCTGCACTCTGCTTTTATTTTTATAAAACATTATTTTGGACCGGGGCTGGACTTTACTCTTTTTTGGTACTGGCTGGGGGGGGGGGTTGGCTCAGAATGCAAACAGGAAAAAAGGGGGGAAGAAGTTGGGTAGGTGAGGCCAGGTCTGACTCTGCAGTGGGTTTCTCGAAAGTTTTAGCTGAAGAACCGTCCCATGGTTACAGGCAGTTGAAAGAGCCAGAGTCGGCACGCGAGGGCAGCCGCTTTTAGGCATTGAGAAGAAGTCTTCTCCCTGATCAGAGCAAAAGGCGGGTGAGTTGGGCGCTGCGGGTGAGCTCCCAGGTTCGCTGGAGAAAAGGCGCAGGGAAAACACTAAGGATGAGTTATTCTGCATATTCCGAAGCTAAGCAATTTACCGTATTTTTCGCTCTATAGGACGCACTTTTTCCCCTCCAAAAATTAAGGGGGAATGTGTGTGCGTCCTATAGAGCAAATGCAGGCTGAGCGGCTAAGCCCAAAGCCAAAACAGGGAGAGGGAGCGCTGCGCAGCGCTCCGTCTCACGGTTCTAGCTTGGGGTTAGCTGCGCAAAGCCTCAGCAGGTTAGCGGGGTGCCTTCACCCCGCTGCTCTGCGGAGGCTTCTAAGGCCTCGCTCCGGGGGCTTCAGGCAGCTATCCGCAAGCATTCAGAGCACAGCAGGAGTTCCCACTGTGCTCGGAAGGCTTGCGGATAGCCGCCTGAAGCCAGGAGAGCGAGAGGGATCGGTGCGCACTGACCGCTCTTGCTCTCCAGGCTTCGCTGGAGAGGCGCTGCACAGTTTTCCCTCTCTGCGCAGCGCCCCTTCAGCGAAGCGGGAGGAGAAATGGAAGGGGCTCCGTTTCTCCTGCCGCTTCGCTGAAGGGGCGCTGAGCAGAGAGGGGGAGAATTTTTTTTTCCTGTTCTCCCCATCCTATGGTCCGGTGCGTCCTATAGAGCGAAAAATACGGTAGGTGCTTCAGTTTAAAGACAACAGGACGCCAGTTCTGCCCTGTAGAAAGGAAAACACAACTCGGAGTCTCTCCAGAATAATGCGCTGGAGCTCTCCAAACCATTTGCCCGCGCCCCCGCCACAGAAAATAGTAGACCTAGCCGAAAGGCAACACGCAGAGATCTGCATTTATCGCTGCAGTGCAAAACCAAGAGGCCGAGGAGGAAACGGAAACTGTTCTGAAGAGGACGCATAAAGCCCTGAGTTCGAATCCCGACACCTCCTGGTCAGGACGGGAGAGTCTCCTGCCATGTGACGGCACCGTCCCCCTGCGGACAAGGGCTGTCTTTGAGGAAAGCCCAGATGGCGGGGGCATCAAGTGAGTTAGTGTCTCGTTCTTTTGAGGAGGCAGAACATTGGAGGAATGCCTTAGAAACCCACCATGAGTGCGGTCTGGTCTCCGCCGCACCATGCGACCCTAGCACTCTCGTAAGAAAGTCTTATAAAGTTAGCCGATGCGCGGAAGGTAGGTAAAACAGACTACGAGGACTCTGGAAGTACTTGATTTATACCTTTTTTGTATAACTAGAGAGATTATTATTATTTTATTTTGTTACAATCATTATTTCCCTTCTTTTGAATTTGTCCCCCCTTTAATGCAGTGACTTGC